GTGGGCTTTCTGTTCGATCAGTCCTGCTACAAGCGCTGGAATGGGAATAGGCCAGTGGACGTTAATCGTCACCATGTCGATATCAGTGACATGTCCTCTACTCCATGAAGCTTGTCTGACTAGGAAGCTTGCTTCCTCTTGATTTAGCAGGTTAGATCCAAGCTCTACGACCAGACGTCCCAACCACACAGCCAGGGTTTCCTCAGGTTGGATCTTAGACTCCCTGTACAAATAAATCCTGTAGTTCGGTTCTGGAGCGAGCATGATAGGCAGTAGTATGAGCTGCACTTTGTTGGTTAATGACTCGGCTAGTTGACGCTGCAGACTGATCAGTTTCTCTACGAGTCGCTGCTGTCATTAATATTTCAGGCAGGAGGGGCGGATGCACCCCTCCGCTCAGCTCTCTCTTCCGTCGGCAGGAGGGCGTGGTCGGCAGAGACGTCGCATCGCTAGGTGGAGCCGCCGGTGATGACGCTGAATCGATGGACGGAGTTATCAACCGAACTCTCACGGGTTCCCCCGAAGCTCCGCCCTTCTCTTCCGGCTTCTCCACACAGCTCTTCTCCGGCTCGGCGCCATCTTGGGCTGGCGTTCCGAGATCTTCCTTCTCAACTGCTTCTTCGACCGCCTGAACAGTCACACGCAGCTGGGCTTTCAAACTCAAATTTTTATTCATTAAATCGGTTACAGTTTGAAAAGTTGCATTCATTTTTCCCCCCTTGTTGTCCCGTAGGGCCACTCTCTCATTTACGGCACGCTCCTCCATCTCCAGGTCTTCGCGGAGCTCGGACGGATGCCCGCGATCCCTCAATCTAGGCACCATCATGTAAGGGGAAAACCAGTCGGTTGGCGCCGGTTCTTTAATCTCTTGGGCACATCTCGGACAACGGGCACCCTCTCGAGCTAGAGCCGGGCTCACCACGCCCGCCGGGTCAACTTTGGCGAGGGACACGGTATCGAGGGGCTTGAATAAGACCAGCTCACTGCTCATGATACACCCGAACACCGCGGGGTGAAGATATACCTCTTCCCCTCCAAGGGCTTCGTCTTCGGAAGCTCCCTCTTCTTTCCTCAGCGAAAAGCGTCCGCTGACACATCTATCGCCCGCTCCACCCGCCTGGTGATAAATAACACGCGCCTCCAGTTCTGCGACGCTCGCCATGCCACGCTTTCCACTCTTCCAAGGACAATTTTTAACTAATTCCAGTTCTAGCAAGCCCTCTCCTGATCCCAGCCTCGTCGCCACGTGCGGGCCGGGAGCGACCCGGGCCCTTTTCCATGCTCCACGCGGGCTGTGGCCAGCAGCCCAGGCACGCTGGATCGGAGAGGGAGGGCGACGAGCTGGAATTAGGCACAGACACTTAACGGTAGATTTTAAAGATTGTTTACTTACACCGAGATGGCAGTGGTGTAGGCTGGAAAGTTTGCTTGAGTTGCGGTTACAGACACAGACAACACAAACGGTTACGTGGAGTTTGCTAGGCTCCATGGAACAGAGCTCTGGATGCTCTGGGTGAGCGTGCCACCAAAATTGGACTCGTAGATACGTCTTATAAATTCTTTCCGCTCGAAGACAGGAAGAGGTGGGCGATGGATCAGGTCACCAAGCTCCTCTGAATCTCACACAGGGTCTCTATTACCCTGCCTTGTATCCAGAGTCCCCACGAGATGGATGTGGAGTCCTCTTTGGCTTGGGCGGAAACTGCTCAAGCCTCTTATACGGCTAACAGGCCAATCGCTAGCCGCCACGTGGGAATAATTTAAAACTAGCCAATAGCGGGGAACAAATTTGCATACGGGTGGCGGAACTCTTTTGCACCGTGCAGGCTGATGTCCATCCTTCCAGTCATTATGGAGTGCACTGAACTCTATGAGAGGGCAGCCAGGGCAGATGGCAGGGGAAGCCCACTTGACACACTCTCCTAGTTCAAGCTGATCATGACAACTCGGGTTTTTTGAGTATGCGCCCACTTTCTAGTTTACATGTCAAGCTCACTTTTCCAGCTCAGGTTCCAAAACCTTTGATACCTAAGGCACAATTTTTATTCTGGATTGAAACTGATGGTACCCTTTACTCTTACACTCAGAAAGTATGTAACACTGCATAAGAGGGAGGGGGGGTGTGCGTGCATGTGTCTTACGCACACAAACAGGCCAGCTACCTACATTATACTTTTACCAGTACAAGTGATCAGAAGCCGGTCTATACCTGTAACAGAACAGGAGTTTGGCACACAAAACCAGTCTATGCCAGTAACAGAACTGAAGTTCGGTACACATAGATGGATTTAACATTGGCAGAACCCAGTCTAAGATTTGCCCCCAGCTACCACCCAGGGGCAAACGTGTGCTCTGTTCCCCACCCATGTAAACTAGGCTGCTTAGAGAAAACTGCCGAACTTGGATTGATTCTTACCTTGTGCATTTTGAATGTGCATACCTAGCCACGTACACCTTTGGGTGACGTGTATGTATGTGGGGGGGGGAACCTGTACGTGTGTGTGAGAAAGATGGGCGTGTAAAACGTGTGCGTGTGAGAGACAGAGAAAGAGCAGGAGAGACACGTTGGCAGTGTTATTTACACATAGATCTTTTCTAGGCGCGGGGGGG